CCGCGCTTTCATCTGTGTAATATCTCTGCTGACATTTATTGTGCGTGCGCACCTCCGTTCGCGTCGTCTGCGCTGAGTTGGAAAGTTTACCAGCCAATGTGGCCATTTTTCTTGCTCCAAGTTTGGGACGATTTTTCATTTTTTGCTCATTCTTCTCCTGATTTACTGTAGTTCTATGCCAGATCAATAGAGTTAGTCCGTATTCCATTTGTTTTAGGAGCACTTTTCCAAGGAGAAGGCGCGGCTACCGTTTTCGGCATTCGCCAGAAGAGTTGGAAAATTTGGGTAGTCACAACTTACTTATGGACTTACTCGCTTTAATGAAGGTAGCTTACGCATTAGACGCCCATGTAAGAAACAGGAACTTACACCCTTTACTTATGCAGCCGGGAACCGGAAAGAGGCCTCGCTCGACGCTCGTGCCCGGAGCAAGACGCTCGCATTTCGACTTTGCGCTCCTTGCCGTGGTTTCATATCTATATGAAGGAGCTAGGTAGGGCCGCCGCGTGCAGGTCGTAGCCCATGCACTCGTCGGCCACTGGTTTTCTGAGGGCTGCAAAGAGACACGGCTGTTATTAGCGGTGCCGGCTATTTTTCCGTTGCGACTTCGTTTGCCGCACGCACAAGACTCAAATAGCTCATGCTACCCTAACCCTTTGAAATACTCGCGACCCAAGGATGCCGATAGAGCAGGAAAGAAAAAACCACCCCACGCTGGATCAGTCGGAGGCGATCACTGGGGTCGTACATACGCGCGACTAGGATAGAAACGCTGGGCTCCCGAAAGGACGAATAGTTTACTCTACTACGCAGTTTGTGCATGGCCAAGCGGTCAAGTTTTGCTATCTGATCCGCGGCTGATTTGGGCTCACGAAAGTCAGGGTTGCACTTATGAGTAAAAAGTATACATTCCGATAGCACTGTACGTCTATAATACAGCTGATCTTACAAAAAATCCATGAATTTCCCTTATGCGTACTCTAAGCGGGTCGTCGCTTTTCACAGGCTACAAGGCAAACAGCTCCGTGTGCAGACCGATGCCGCCCAGCTTTGTGCCTTGCGTAATCCCGAGGCGCGCGACCGCGTTCTGCGTCTCGCAAATGAGGCTCTCGGGTCCGCTCGCAACCACACCAACACCGCCGCCGAGGCCGACCCAGTTGAGCTTTCCTGCCAGACAATGCTCCTGCGTCACCTCCGAGTCTGCATCCGAGTTCGAGTCCGCGTCCGCGTCCTTCTTCTCGCAGGATGCCGTGCGTGCGAGCTCACTGTCGTCGGGCGGCGTCACGAGTGCACGGAGCACGCGGCCGACGGACGGGCGGAAGACGCTCACGTCGCAGTTCGGGACGTCGGGCACCGCCTCGGGGTTGCACAGGCACGTGACGTACACACTGACGTGCAGGTCGAGCGCGCCGCCGGTGCGCTCGCACGCGAGGGCCAGGTCGCGCAACGCGTCCGCGAACCATGCGACGCACCCGAACGAGCGCACGCACCACACGAACTCGATCCGCCGCGTGCGCTCACCGCGCGGACGCCCGAGCCGCGCGCAACGGCCGACGATGTCGTCGAGCACGCCCAGCGTGACCGTCGCGCCCGAGCCACCTGCGACGAGGAGCACGCTCTCGTAGTCGCCGAGGTCGATCCCGCACCCGCCGTACGCGCCATCAAACATCACCTGTACCGGCACGCCGACGCTCTGCGACGCCTTGCTGTCCAGTTGCTTCTCGCTGCCCAGGGATAGGCGGTGTTGCTCTTCCTGCGCGTAGGCGTTAAGAGCACGCGTCCAGTCTCCGCGTACCCGGGCTGCGAGCGTAAGACTGCGGGAACCGAGGGCAGACGTCGACGGGGGAGCATTGGCAATAGTGAGTGGGTGCGCTTCGAAGAGGCGGCCGTTGAAGAAGACGCGGAGGCGGACGTGCTGACCTGCTTGCCAGCCAGCGTCACAGTCGTGGATGTGAATCTAGATATGATCATCAGTGGATGCAGAACATTGATGGCACTGCACACTTACAAGCGTCATGTTGTTATCGACGGGTACAAGTGTTGCATCTTTGATGCTGTACCGGAACATGCGCATGAGCATGTCGAGACCGTAGAACGCCAGAGGTGGAAAGATCCAAGGAGGGGCATAGATCGTGTGGTAGCATATAGTGATGAAGAACGCGACATATCCGAGGACACTAAATTGAAATCGGGATCAGTATTGCAATCGAGTTGAGTATCGTAACATACGTACTGCACAACGAAAAAGAACTGGTAAAACAGTCTCCGAACAGGACGCAAAGACGTCAGAACAAGTCCACAGAGTACGCCAAACGCGGCGACACCCGAGGTCTCCTTCTGCTGTCCGAGAATCGGGAGGCCATACTGCAGGTGGTTTCGGATCCAAAGCGATCCGTGAACGAGCGCGCAAATAAACATTCCACGGCCAGACCAGCGATGGACATAGTTGAGCTTTTCCCAGCCGGCGCCCGGGCCAAGAAGGATCGATAGCACGTTGTTCTTGGTTGCGAAGAGAAAGACGACAGGGAACTGCGCGAGGACGAGGAAGCCACCACGGTTCGGATTCGATATGAGCTGAGAGTTTATCGTGAGACAAAGAAGGACGCTAGTAAGGTATCCAACAATGACGAGCACTTGAGCAGCTCCATCAGCACTGATACGAAACAAAAGCCGAGTGGATGCTCACTCTGGCCAAAGTCGAGCTCGACACCGGGAAGAGTCCATCGAAGCGCCGACAGTAGGCTCTCTGCGAGTACAAAGACTCTCTTCCGTCGCTTGCTTGGAAGCGCAGCCCGATCTGGCGATGGTGCAACTGCAGAGTAACTCTCATGCACGCTGGAGTACTCCCTGACGCCGAAGAGTCCCTTGTATGCGTTTCCCGTCTTAAGCGAGCGCCAGAGGCGCGGTGCGGATGCAATGGCGGCGACTACGACAGCCACAGACCAGATAACAGAGAACCTGTTCTGCCATTCTGGGTCCTCGACGTACGAGCTACAGACATGAGCATCTAGGTCTCAGCACCGTTACAACTCAAAGGACGTACTTGTATTCCTGGAACTGTGTTGGGATTACCGGGGGCGCACCAAAATCCGACATGTTCACAAACCTCCCGGCTCGTCCTTAGGAAAGACGAGGACGATAAGGGGGAGTAGGGAGGAGAGCAAGGGAGAGTATGCGAGCAGGTAGAAAGCTAAAAGTGGCAACTATTTGTTCTGTACAAATACGGGTGAAAAAGCTTTTTCGTCCCGCTCGCGAAAAACGCTGCGAGGGTCAAGACCCGGAAGTTTCGTCCTTGCATGCCTGTGCCGCTTGGAGCAGGTCGCCACGGGGTTACGATGCATTCGCAGGACATCTCTAGATTTTTGTCGCTCAGATCAGTCGCTTTCTAGACTCGCTGCTTGCGGGAACTACCCCGTATTTTCAAATTTGACTACAGCCCGATTTTTCAAACCACATACTCCTCAACATTCATTGTTAAGTGTATCATAATAAACACTCTTAGCATTCACTTAGACATAAGCCACAGCATGACGAGCACAGAAAATCGTCTCACATGGGGCCGGGCTCTCACGAATATACGGAGCTGAAAGACATAGGTCTTCAATGTAGCACATCATACCCCTGCTTCCACTGTCTGCTCTGTCCTTTCCTCTGGCTCCTCCCTCAACACATCCCGCACTTGCGTCAGCGCTTTTCCGAGGAGATTCAACCCCCACCGCTCCTTCACTTCTAACGCCCTCTTTTCGCCAAACCCAATGCCCCAGATGCGGTCCCTAGGACTCGCCTCGACGAGCACCTTGTCCCCCGTAGCAAGGAGCGTCTCCCCCAGCTCCGCGTTCTGCCTGAACTTGTGCACGTTCCCGCGGAAGACGACCTCCTCGCGCGCCGCATTCCAGGTGTCATCGTCAAAGCCCCGCACCGCGCGCCCGAGTGCCTTGACGCGGCGCATGTCACCCGCATCCGCGGCGAGCACGGCGCGGAAGGCGTCGTCGTCGCCGAACAGCAGCGCCTTGCATGCCATCATCCAGTGCTCGGCCGTCTCGAACGTGTGTGCCTCTTCCGCGCGGATCTCGATTCCCCGCGCGGGCACTGCGACGTCGATGCGCGCCGTAAACGGCGAATGGTACCACTGCGAGGCCCAGCCGTGCGGAGTATCTGGTTTCCAAAAGAATACGTAGTCTTTGCTTGGGCGTGGCATGACTGTGGAAGGTAGGAGAGACTCGATGTGCACTGTACTGTGCGGTTAGCGTAGACTTATAACGCACGGCTCATCGACCTTGCGAGTCAGCTTCGGCAGCGGGCCTGATAGCTCCCGATATTGACTCGTTCGCCCCGTTCATGACGTGACCCACACGCACGGCCTATCCCAGACAAGTCATTTCGAGTCAATGTTACAACAGAAGAAGTATGGAATACAAATCCGCGTCCGAGAGTCAATCGTACAACATTCATTATCAGCAATCCAAGTGAGAGCCTATTGAGAGTGCGCAGCGTGAGCTGCGGCTTGACTCGCAAAGCGTCCAAAAAGCGTCTCCCCAACGCCCAGCCCCACCACGAGACTCAGAATGAATCCGACTTGGAATGTCCTACGCGCGAAGGATCAGTATTGACGTAACAGATATAGTAAGAAGTACAGACATGACGACAAGCATGAATGCAAACTGCAGCGCCGAATGTCCCGCAAACGCAATTCCACGGACGAGGTCGTGATAAAAGATAAAGGGCGGCGCTTTGCGGAACGTCGTGGCGTCGCGAAGTGCAGCCGAGACACCGACAGGCTTGGGGCTCTTCAAGTCTTCCCGAGGCGACGCGCTGACAGGAAGGCCCCGCACGTTCATTCTGTCAGCCTGCGTAATCGCAGCCCTGCCATATCGTGAGCTTTATCCGCACGCTTCGCTAAGGCGGAGGAAACGTACCGCTTAGACCAGTGTGCCTGCATAACCGCTCTGCACGTCGCGATCCAGCGCTCGACGACGGCAAGTAGGAACAGCCCAATGCAAGTACCAATCATCGCGCCCGTGCTCTGGGGCACCCAGCCCATGAACCAAAGCATATCGCCCGGGGTGAAATGGAGGTACGGTAGCATCTGACCCTGTGCAAGTACCATCCCATCGTCCATAGTCATGTCCATGCCATTGTCGTGCGCAGTCACCAGTGCAGCAAGCACCAGTGGCACGCACGTCGACTGTATAGAAATCGGTAGCATCGCTGTTGGAAGGGGAGGACGAGGGCACCGGAGGGGAGATGGCGAGGTCGTGAGCAAAAGGAAAAGCGATGGTCTTATCATGTCTTACGTAATCAGCCCAAACACGCACAAATACGCTGTCCCTCTCACCGTCCCTCTGAAAAATCCCCCCGCCCTGCACCTTCAAACGCGTGCTCAAACAACCAGCTTTCTCAGCCTCATCTACTTCCTACACACGTGACCGGCCGCATCTTCAAGGTGCCCAAAAGGTGCCCAAGCCGTCGGCAGCATAGGAACAGGATGGGCAAATGTACTGCGCGGTCCCGAGTACGTTCCCGAGTACGCTGCTGAACCATTGCCGAAACCGAAACATGCGGCGACAGACCAGTGATTCCCACGTACGTGTGAGAGCGGCGACGGAAGGGGGGAAGTACTAGGCGGCTGACCTGGAGGTGGCTGACGACAGGGCGCCCGATAATCGGGAAGGCTTCGTGAGCAATCCGCTCCCACCTTTCCGTCTCCAAAAGGTGTATCCAGGATGTTCGATGGCAGACAGCCTGTAAGACAGTAGAGCAAAGGGTGCTGAGAGGTGACAGATGGCTTATCGATCAGGGTCGACAGGCGATGAGAGGGCGCCTGAGGGTAGTCGCCCACGAAGTAAGTGCAGATGACTGAGAGGAACCTTGTCGTGGACTAGTACATGGTCGAGAGGCAAAAAAAAAGCCCACAGAGGTGCCAGGATGAGACTAGTGGCGGCAAGGGAGATGAATCATGGGGCTTGAGAAAATGCCGATCCCAGTCCCATATGACGACTAGTCCAGGGCGACGTCGAGCTTCGTGAGCAGTACGCTCCCACTCGACGCCTTCGATCACATTCTGACAGGTGGAAATACTCTTTCAATGGCGTATGGTCAGGTCCTAGCAGCAGTGAAGTAGAGCGAGGGAGAACGTGAGTGGGACGAGGAGTAGCACGAGATGGTGGGGAGGGGGTAAGGTTCGTTGCGCTCGTTTCGCCCGGGGCCGTGAGGCTATTCTGTGATTGGCCCACAAAATGCCTCGCTTTGAAGCGGAGCTGTAAAATTGCGGCATCTTCCGCTTACCTTCACGCTCGCGTCCGACGCTGGGTGTTTTTGGCTTAGGACATAGCAGCGACTTGAAGGAAGAAAACCGTGTTTCCAGGTACAATAATACAATGAGGTGAGTTTTCATCTAAAATTGCGGTATTATGGCTGTATATGTTTAATTCGACCAGCAGCATAGGCTCTAATTCGGCTGCTAAGAGCCTCGACAACTCTAGGGGCTAATGCTAACCTCCCACCTCCACTAGCCTCCACCATACGCACCGTCTACGATGAGACGCACGGAGCCGTTTGATTTATGCAACCGAGCATCATGAGCATTGCCAACAACCCGAACCTTGTTGGCTACCTCAAATACCCAGCCCCTAGCTCGGACGGCTCGTTCGCCATCTGCATTGCAAACGGCGAAGGGGACGTTCATCAGTAAGGTATTACCCTAGCTAACTCTCATTTTGTCAATTCTCAGTTGTTGCGATAGGCGTTCTGGAAGTCTATTCCTGAGGAATATCGCCCCGTACTAGACAAACACGGCGCGGGAATGCAGGTCGAGACTATCCTCAGCGGGAATATGACCGCTATTGGCAGCGTCTTCCTGCCGTTCCTGCTCAAGAACAAGGAGACTGGCGAACGTATGCGCTACATCCTCCGCGCGATAGTCTTGCCTGGCCTCTTCATGCCAATGTTCATCAGCGGCAATGAGCGCAGCGTCGTTGAGCAGGCAGCTTACTCTGGGCGCGAAGGGCCTGTTTTTACCCTCAAGTGCGGCGACGGGACGTGCCCGGTACAGGGGCAGTAAGTTCGCGCTTATCATGCGGTCTAGGCGTCCACAGCAAGATGGCGAGGTTCTATCCATTCGAGAAGGCGGAAGCAAGCTGGGAATTTCAGAAGATATGATTTGACTATTCATCATGCCAGGAAGTGAATTTATCAGAGCTATATGTCACCTTTGGCCGCTATGACGAATGTTCTCAAAGACCTCATCTTCCTCGCTTGGCGCCCTGCCGCAGCTCGAGACCTTTTGAAACGTTCTCTTTCATCGTGTGCCTTTTGACATAACCTGTCTTATGCGGCAGGGGACTTCGGTTAAATCCGATATACTGAGTCGTTCGGTAATTTTGAGGATTATTGCTTGGTTCTCTTCCGCCGCGAGCACCCGTCATAACGATTCGATGCGCATCGGGCAAATGTGAGCATCCTGTTTCACCTTAGATAATGCTCAAGACTTATCTTGGCCCTTCGTCATCCCCAGATGTCTACATCTCCTCTCGCGCCATCAATTTCACATTCTGACACGGCCTCCATATCTTATTTAGGCCCAGCGCGCTTCGTCTTCGTACACTGAGCGGCGCAAAGCTAGCCTGTAACCGGATGCGCGGTACGTCGGCTTCTCACCGCGCTGTCAAGCACCACTCTCCAGCGCCACAACGGCGAGCCTCCCACATCAAAGGCGATCTTTCGCGCAGCCAGGTAGTTGGCTCAACGTCGTCGACATCGGTACTTTGCCGGCGTCTAATGGCTTTCTTGAAGGATCGCGGGTACATATAGTCATATCAACTCCAGGCCTTCAGGACCTCCACATGGCTGCACTGCCTCAGCACAGGAGCTATGCGAATGTACGAAGGCTGCATGCCATTGCGAGCCCTACATAGCGGCAGCAAAGAGAGGCATACGGAAGGCGCATGTAGGTTTTTTGTACATCCTGCGCTGCATGTTCAAACACGTCAAAATACAGGCTTAATAGAAAGAAACATGAAAAGCAGCGGCATCCCTTGTGATAACGTGACCGCTGCTCTCAAGAGCGGCGGCGGTCGGGACTATGTTACGCGCGACGCACCGGACTGGTGCAGCAGGACACTGTTCTCTTACATGGCAACGGGGAGCTCGTACAATTTCGTCCTCCATAGCTAAACCAGCGAACAACCACTGACTGGCACTGATATCGCAGATCTCTCCTCGCTCTGGGCGTTTGGTGCTTATATGGGCTGCATGAGCAGGGTGAGTTGAGCGCGAATGATAAGCGCACATGTGCGTAACCTCCGTCTCGGACGCGCAGCTTCTCCGCCGACCAGACATGACTGGCGCTCTTCATAGCGATGACCCCGACTCAGGGGCTTGCCGACATGAAGTACACCGCCGGCGCGCCGTGAGGTATAAATGAGTTGATGCCGTTACCGAACAGTTCACTGCGCGGTACGTGACGCGCGTCTCCTCGTTACCTAACTGTCAGAAAGATAAGTAAATAACATCAGTGCACCGTTAGGCAAGCTCTAACGGTTAGCTAACGAGATTGGGTAACGGGCTGGTCTTTCCATATTCCCGAGGTGTTCTGCAGCGGGGTTTGAATACGTCGGCAGTACCCGTTTGAATAAATTACACATTTTTCATTGAATTTTCGCTCTATTTGCATGAAAATTTGACAATAAAAAGCAATATATTCCTGACAAAACTAGGGAAGATACAAAGCTCTAGGGACTATTACTACACTACAGTACATGCTAATCTTCCAGACAGACACCGTGCTTAGTACTCTTCACATCTGTCATGACTTGCTGAGACTTGCATGGATACCCTGCAC